GAAGCATCTGTCCTATAAGGAGAAGTTGATGGAGATGGGGCTCTTCAGCCTGGAGAAGACTGAGGGGGATCTTATCAGTGTCTTTACATGTCTGAAGGAAGTTAAGAGGATGGAGACAGGCTCTTTYCAGGGGTGCCCAGCGATAGGAAGAGAGGTTATAGGCACAAGTTGAAACACAGGCAGTTCCATCTGAATATGAGGAAAGACTTTTCTCCTGTGAGGGGAATGGGTTGTCCAAAGAGATTGTGGAGTCTCCATCTTCGTATATACTCACAAGCTGTCTGCTTGAGCAGGGATTTCRAACTAGATGATCTGCAAAGATTTATTCCAAACTCAGCTGTTCKGTGGTTCAGACTGTCAGTCAGGCAAGAGATGAGGCTGAATGCCACCTTGAAATCCCTCCCTGCCTCTGTCACCAGAGTTTCTACACGATGCTGAGCAAATCACATAAACTGACACAGTCTCATTTAGTCCCTAATTGTGTGTTACTAATTTTCTTAATATCTGAACTAAGAAACCTGTGACCAGACTCAAAACTGTGCAGAGCTTTCATCAATGAAAAAAGAATTAATAGGAAGTGTGCTTTAATGGTGCGCCATAAAAATGTTAAGTATACTTGACAGTCAAGAATATCCAGATAGGCATCAACATTAGWCTTGGACTCTCTTTTTTCTCAGTTTTCTAACATAAAAATAAAAGTGCTGCCTATTCTTGCTAAGGTTGTGAAAAAAAAAAATCATTAATATTTGCAAGGCACTAACATACTGTGAAATCACCATATGAATAACCCAGAAGATTTTTCTTTAGTTTGATGAGTGGTAAATAAAACATGGAGCTAAACACCAAATAAGGAGGATAATAATGGTAAGAATAAATAAAACTAGTATCCATTTTGGAAGAGGCTGAAGATCTTCAGAAAAAGATAGCGTATGGTTAGGTATATGCATATGTAATCAAGAGTTGTATCCCAGTACAGGTATGCAAGAGGAGGTTATGTGGGTTGCCTTAATACAAATACCTTTTCTTAACTCTGTCACGTTAGCTTTTAAAAATGTTTTTGTAGCTATTAAAGGCATACATTTATTTATTTATATTTATTTATTTAAATTTATTTTATTATTAAAGGCTTAAATTCCTAATATTACCTGTAGAGCTTCCTGCTGTAGAGGCTCTAGAGCACAGATCTCTCAGTTCAGTGCAGACATTCATAAGAATATAAGCACAGATCAGCAACTAATTATCATTGGTTTCTATAGAAGGTAAGATCCTGAAGTGGAATCCAGTGCATTTAATGCAGGTACCTAAATTTCATGTGTGCTTTAGATGCCTACTGAAGTGGTCTTCTTGAAGGTCACATCTTATGTTCTTAATTCAGKTTGGGAAAATAAACAGATACCTCTGAAGCTTTTGGGGAGAGATTCTGCAGGTTTAATTTTGATGCCCACACTTACTCTGAAGGTATCTTCCTCTACAAGCCTTCCAAGGCATCTTTCTCTTTGTACTGATTGTGGAGGGAACTTTGCTGGGAAGTGCGGACTGTGTATGTGAAACACAAGCTTAAGCTGGTACTTATTTAAGATAGACTGGACTTTCCTTTTGTATCAAGTCTTAAAAGGTATTCAGGTTTGTTGGTGTAAGCGTGTTTGTGAGATCTCATTAACGGWGCAGAAATACCTGAAAAAATAAGAAAATAATGCTATTTTAAAGTGATCTTTAGTACTGTAAGCCTTTTCCTTGTGAATAGCTCTTCAGCAGTGCCATTGCAGCCAGTGATGAATTAYGCACCTAAGCTGGAATCCTATTTATCTTTCATAGCAGAAAGCATATTACTTTTATTTCTGCAAGTCTGATGCTACAGAAAATCTTCTGTTCCTTCTTCTTATTTAAATTAATGTAAAATCAAGTTCTCAGTGTAGTGATCAGCCTGTGGGCAAAGTATATAATAATTATGTCTTATTGTTCAGTCCAACCATAGTGATAAAGTAACACAACCTATCTGCATTTTGAAGTGAAACCAGTAAACAAAAAATAATTTTATGCTAAACACACAAATCGCATATCTTAATCTGCATTCTATTTGATTTGCTTAAGCTCCTCATTAGAGCAGCATCTAAAAACTCCRTAGCTTTTGCTGTTTAACTCTGAATATTCCTATAAACTAAGGAAATAATATAATCTTCATTTTATGGACTTAGAAATAAAGCATGAGCTAGATAAGCCAAGCTCCTTTAAAGGACATCAAAGGTTGGGACCTTCAGCTTCAAGCTTTTAGTTGCTAGGCCTCAGATTGGACTCTTGACCAAATCCTGTGTATAGTAAATGATGGAGACAGCTCAGAATGTGTAATCCAAAATAGCCAGGAAGGTGATGAGTGTCAGAGGTCCCATGCCATTCACCTCTGAAAAACAAGAGAGCCTTTTCAGAGGCCAGGATGATGCTGAGATGGTAACCATTAAAAATCTTTCATGAATTTTGTATTAAAAGGTTGTTGGGTCAAAGGCAGAAGCACACTCAGTTCCCAAGGGTCTGTCTTCCTTAATGAGTGCCTCCACTGCCTGCATACCTTTCACGCTGTCATTTCCCTCCATACTCTTTCCACATAGAATTTTAAGTTGTTTAATGAAAAGTGGCACCTGCTCAACATGAAGGACACTGCACCTTTTCTTCAGAGAAGCTATAGCGAAGTGTTTGGGGACATGTAAGCTCTTGAGACATGTAAACTTGAATTTCTTCAGAGTGTGGAAGAAACTGAGCTACGTGTTTTGGGCAAGTGCATTTCTAGATGGCTGGCATGCTTTGGAACTGCCACATCAAAGCACTTAAGAGACTTGGGCAAAGTTAATTTTTTARCTGTGTTCAAGTTTGGGAGTGATCTTAGTGTTGGGCTGTTGAGTCAGAGAGACACAGGGAAACATTACAGCCAAATCTAAACATCTTCAACGTTAGACAGGTGGCAAATGAAAGCTTGYAATATTGAGATTCTTGGGGTTTGATACCTGTGCTGTATCCCAGGTGCACTTCTCTGCTTTTTGCTGAAAGGTACACATTATAATACTATAAATTGAACCCATTTTTTTTCTTGTATGTGTCTGTTGAATCACCATTTTATCTTCCTATTTGTTGTCCTGTCCTGTCCCTTAGTAGGGCCACATTTTGACCACTGCCTCATAGTTACTTTTTTTTTTTTTGTTTGTTTGTTTGCATACCTGACTGGCCCTCTTTTTCTCCCTACTGCTTTGCAGATACAGTCTACTGTGACAAGAAAGTAATTATACRAAGTTGTGTGTGAAGGTTAAATGATACAGAACAGTGTTCATCACAATACAAATTGTAATTCTTACCGTCATTCCAAAAATGAAAGGTTTCAAGGTGTTTGACTTGGAATCTCTGTGTTTAATCTTTATTTGATTCAAATATGTATTTAGTTTAAAAGAAGGAAGCAATGACTAGAAATAGTGACTTGGAGGAGTTCAGGCAATGGTTTATCTGTTTTCAGGCAGTGATTGAGCACTCTGCTTTATTACGTCTCACTAGGTTATACTGTTACCTGTTTAACTTTAGAAATCATGACTGTGCACTGAGTCTGTAGTAAGACATAATAATAAAAAAAAAAAGGTGGCTCTGTATCAGGTAATAACAAGGGAAAATAACGTGTCTGAATACTCTAATTAAAGAGATAGTGGGTTAAAGCAGAGCTGATGGGTAAAATGTATTGAAGTTTAGTATCTGGTTTCCACATGGGTAACTGAACTAGCTCAAGAAATGAACAATAAATCAACCTTTGGTAATGACTTCGCTAAAGACAAAAATCTCATTGGATTTTTTAGTCCATTTTAAAACATTTCAAAACTGATATTTGTGCTTCATATTTGCCTTGACATTTTCAGGTTTCCATCCTACTGCTTTTCTCAGGCTCCTGGGTAGGATTTAATCCTATCACAGAAAGTATTACAGACTCAGATATTATTATTAGGACTGGCATTTTGTGGAGTATTGTTTGTATCAAATGGGTCATTATGTATTTGAGGAAGCAGGAACAGACCTTCCACCACTTTTGTTAGAGATCCAGCAGGGACTTTTCACCACCTGCTTGTTAGCTGCAGCCATCAGACTGTGTAAGGAGGAGATATGAAAAACTGCCCTTCTTTTTAGCCTTTTCTTGGTTGACAAATGCCACTAGCTGCATGTCATCTTTCCAGCAAGCAGACATTAAGGGATGTGAGGATGGGGAATAATGAGGAAACGATTATGTGGTACTCTCTACTACCTTATTCATCTGAACAGGGACTGTTTCTGTTTGYCTTGGTGCTCCATGCGGTCAGATGCCTGAGTTGTTTTGTACTGAACACATCAGAATGTGACTTGGCTAAGCAGCTTTAACTTACTGCTTTGTGAAAACAGAGGCCTGGAGCAATCATGGAGGGTTTCAGAGATGTTAATTGTTTGTGTGCAGGAATGAGCTTATAAATGGTTGTTTTTGCAGTCTTATGTTGCTCATCGAGGCTAACTGTGTMACTGCCAGAAAAAGAGAAGGGAGAATGATTATTTTCTCTTCTTCACAGTCTACTAATATTTTCAGGGCTCGATATAATGTGGCTTTAACAAACCGTGAACTTCTCTCCTACTGAGTGACTGCACCCTGCCTACATTCAGAATAGGCAGAGAACCATTATACTAATCCACTCTACCATCATATCTCTAGCAAACACATGTAAGTGATTGCTTTGAATATTTATTTTGATGCAAGGAGTGTTAAGTCCTTTATTTGGCAACATAAACAAATAGGAGATTTTAACTTTCTCAACTTCGTAACATTAATTGAGTTCTGTTTTTTTTGTTTTTTTCCAGCTACAGTGTGCTTTGACAAATGTACAAGAGCCACATTTGGCTTTCAGAATAACCCTACCACCTCACAGCAACCTTAGAGTATTCAGCTGTGCAGTTAGGGTAGGTTGTGTAGGAGCTGAAATGACCAATCTTTTGCTTTGTTTTTTTAACAGGTACGATTATACGCAAGACCTGATGCAATCCGGAGAGGATCAGGGGACTATGCTCTAAATATCACACGGAGACTCATTGAATTTTATGAAGATTATTTTAAAGTGCCCTATTCCCTGCCAAAATTAGGTAAGGTTTCCCTTAGAACATGAAGCTTACCCAGAAAATGGGAAATTAAGTCACTTTTCTTAAGAAAACCTAAGTTTTTGAAGGAAGGGATGTTTTGGTTATTTTAGAAGGATTGGTAAGCAAGGATATTTTCAGCTTTCCAGCAGAAGGGAAGCCAAATTGTTCCTTCTTCAACCTTTCACTGAAAGAAGCGGCAAGCAGACTACTTAAATGTATTAGGTGGTGAGACTCTAGGAAAAGAATGTGCTTTCATTAACTACGTGGTAGAATTGGTTTGTTTTGAAGAATTTATGGCTCAACTTTAGACAGAGAGCAAAATTGGAAATATCTGTGGAAACTGGAAACCTGCAATACTGTAAGGCAATATTATGCTGGTTTGTATAGTTTATTAATTATGATTAGTATGTGGTTAAATATGTGATTGTTACTTACGGAGGAGAATGACTACAAATTTATCTTGCTACTCAGATCACCTCAACATAACAGATTTCAATTCTGGGTTTTTTTTTTTTTTAATTATTTCTTTTACTCTTCCCTTTCATAGCGGTCATTTGCTGTCCAACACACTGGATTATTTCATATTACACCCTTTGTCCTTGAGAGCATGTTTGATCAAGATCCATAAAACCCTGCTGCTCAGCAGCAGGAAGAAAGTTTGTATTTGGTCAGAAGTGTTAGAGTTGGAACCACAGGTGATTCTCCAAGGAACTCAGGACCTATTACATTAAATTCCTCATCTGCTAGGTAGCTTTATTAGTCTTAAAACTAGTGGGGTAGGAAATAGATAAAGAAGTTGATGTTGCTAGATGAGGATGTTGCATGAATTTTTATAAGAATGTTGTGGCCTTTGTTTCTTGTTTCACGTGAGTGACCTATTTCCACACTTGAAAGGTCTACTTAGCTTGCAGACATGTAAGTTTTTCCACATTGTATTTTGAAGTGGAAGGTGCTTGTGTTGGATTTTAAACAGTTTTTGTGTGAATTTAATTAAAAAAAAGGTCAGATCTTCAAAAAAGAAGTTTTCTCGAACTCTGTAAACTATAAACGTTAGCTAAAAATCASGGGAAAGTAAGGCACTGGATTTTATTTAAATCTGAAAAGACATGCAGCAGGATTTTTGATTGTGTTTCTATGGCTGGTGAATGCAAAATAAATTTCTGTATTTCTAGGGCATACTCAGCTTTTATCCAGTTTGCAATGCACAGAACATTTTTTTAATATCTATAGACTTTCTTTTCTTACAAGGCTTGTCAACACCAAGAATAGTTTCCCTCTGGGGARTGATTAAGCATTCTAGAACTCTTTGTTTTCACTGAACCTGTCTCCTGCTATCCTCACTGGATGGCTCTTTATTCTGGGTTGCAAGAGACAGTGTAGCAGTCCACCCCTCACACCGAAACATTCACAACTTCGAGTCACAACTTGTGGAGTTTGAAGAGTTCCAAGATATCAGGCTTCCTACAACAGGTGGTAAATCTGTGAAACTGCTTGTCAAAAGATATTCTAGGTGAGATGGTTTACATGGGTTTGAGTGGAGAAATGGACAGGTTCTCAGAAAAGAGCTTCACCGGAGAAAATTCCCTGGTCTGAAAATTCGGAGAGTACATATTTCCCAGTTCTTCCTCTTTCTTGAACATCTCTTTACGGCCACTACTGGAGAGCAGGATACTGAGCTAGAGGCATCTGAACTGATAGGACGATTTGTACATTCATGGTCTTCTAGTTTCTACAATGTTTCTACTAAAGGACCATGAAATATCTGTACAAGAATACTCTATGTACAGAAACTGGAAAACTTTGTAAGGTTCTAACTATGACACTTATCTGTGTGGTTTTTTTTTCTTTTTTTTTTTTTTTTTTTACGTGTGTGTGTGATGTGCAAATGTGAATTGCTGTGATTTTTTTTTTAGTTTCTGAGTCTCAGTTTTCTTGAGCAAAGCGCTGTCTTCTTCTGTGATCGAGAGCTGGGAAGAGAATTGGGGGGAACCTAGGCTTGGATTGTTGCTCTTCCAGTTTAGGCTTAGAATAGGCYGCTCTTACATTCCCTGATACTGTCCTGAAAGATGGTAGTATGAACAGTTGGTGAATCCACTTTGGGACATAGCAGCACATGTTACAGAAGGGTGAAAATAAATTCCCTTGCTGTTTTGTTTTGAGGCCTTTGGAGATAGATGAATATTTCATTTATAAGTATTAAAATGTACATGAGCACTATGGTGTTAAAAATCTTTTTAAAAAATTTTAAAAATATTTTTTCTAGACTTTGAGAAGTGTCTTTTATGGAGAATTGCTACAGAGAAAACTTTGGAGTTATGTCTGATACGTTTTATATCTTTTTCTTACAGGCATGTTCAAGGTACTAATTACTGCACATACTTGTTTGTGCCAAAATGATACATTCTTGTATTCATTATGCAGCACAGAATGCTATTTAAAGTTGTGAATGCAAACTCGGAAAGTGATTTTTCAAGGAATTCAATGATACATGCACAATGGAAGACAAAATTGGACCATTAACATTTGCTCTTTGGGTATTTCTGGAGAACAGGATTCAATTTTTAGAGTGTATCACTGAAAAATTAAAGGTGTTTTTTTCCTCTGATGTAAGAAAATGCTCAACCATATAAAGAATTAAAATTCAAAGGGAAAACATTTTGACTTTTGTAGGAAGCTTCTGGGCATCTGCTGTTCCCTCCTTGTTGGCAGTGCGTATTTTGATGAAAGATAGTGCTCTTTCTGTGGGAGGTGTTGGAAGCATGGAATAAAGTTGTTGGGATGCTTCTATAGGATGGTCAAAAGACTTGCAGTGAGTGCTAGTGATTAACTGTTCATTTAGACTGAATTGCTCTACTGTTAGACTCATTCTTTGATTTATTTCTGACCTGTTCACTGCGATATTGTCTTCCTTCACTGCTTGGTCTTGCATCTTCTTCATCCACATTCTCTCCTCTTTCCTAMTTCTCCTTCCTCCTCCTTTTTCCCTGTCTCTGTCACTCTCTCTAGTATGGACCTAATTCCAGATACATGCCTGCTTTCTCTGATTTAATTCTGCTAGAAGTTTAACAATTCCTGCCCCTCTACTTTGTACCCTGGGAGGTGGCCTCTTTCTGTCATCTTCCCAAACTCTGACCTGCTATTATGTAAAAAATAAATATTTAATTCTTCTATCTCCATGTATAAATGAATACAATAATACTTTTTACTTTTCTTTAACAATAGTTGAAAATGATTGTCATTTTTTTTGTTTGGTCCTGATCAAGAGATTGCCAACCTAAAGATGTAAGAAATACTGATCAGAGACAGATCAGAGATAGGCACGCCAAAGTGCTCACAGTTTCATTGTGTTCTTGTGGAATCCAAGCTGTACCTTATATGTGAGCTATATACAGTCGTCTTGAAAGACATCTAGACTCTCTACTGAGAGGGAATCCATCACAACTCTGTAGGAGAGAGGAAAGGAATGAAAATGTTTATTAAGTCAAGACTCTGAAAGTCTTTTGAATACAGTGTTTGGAGTAGAGAATAATAAAGAGGCATGGAAACAAGATGCTCTGGAAGTGGGAYGCATGATTTCTGCAGTGAGGCAGGGTGGGAGTGTAGGCATCAAGGGCTTGGTTCATGTGCCTRAACTGGTGCTGTTTAAAATGTCTTAGAGTCTCCTGAAGAGCCCRAGCTGCTGATTCTGCTGGCCTACAGATGAGGGCCTGTTAGTCTGTGTCACCCTTGTCAGCCCCACATGGATACTTGAAATAATATTGAGCATCTCAGGTTACCAGTGGCATTTATCTGGGTTAGGCAGCAGAAYTGAAATTTCCTATTTTCTGTCATCAGCTGCTCAAAAAAAGCAGCTGTGATGGCTTTGCACGTGTGGCTCTCTCGACTGATACTGAGCACCCTTATTTTACTTGTACCATGACCTTTAAAGCTTTGTTTGGAGGCAGTTTTTTTTGCATGTGAGGGGATTTTTTTTTAGCATTTCTAATCTGTGCACACTTCAAACCAGCAACTAGTCAGGGCTCCAAAGGGAAAATTTCCATCTCCAGCCATAGGAGAAAACTTTTTTTTTTGGTTTCTCTGAGCAGTACTTTGAAGTATGTAAAGGAACAGTCACTTACTGCACAGAAACAATGAATAGGAAATTCAGTCCCTAGTATGATATTAAGAAAGAAAGGAAAAATAATATTTACTTAAGACTATTTCTTAATGTATTGTTCTAAACTATGTTAAATGCTAAGTYGATTCATTCCAGTAATTCCTATAATAGAGTTTGTATTGGGCACTGAAGCTGACTGGAAATTACGGGGAAGCTGATCTCTGGTGAGTTGGTGTGCAGCAAGCTTGAGTCTGATACTGGTTGTAGGAGGCAAGAAGAATTATGTATGGAAATAAAGCAGCTTTATATAGAATAAGATAAATCAGCTCTGGTAGAACTAATCCTCTTTTGAGTGAAATGTTTTCGTTATGCAGCTATTGTCCTCACATGTTAATTATGACCTGAATAATGCCCAACCTCTCGAACAAGAAAAGTGTTCAGATAGGAACATTATTGCCAGTCAGTCCACAGGGAAAAGAGAGGTGACCAGATCTATCCATATCCACACTGGCTACTCAGCTTATGAGATCAGAAAGCTTTTAAATGCTTAATTAAAGAAAAATAAGGAGAGAGAGATGGTGTTCTTATGGGAGTGTAATAGGATGTGGGACTATAGATGAGTTTGTGGAAAAGCCAGTGTTTTTTGAGCCATTTGAGTRCTTCACGTGCAATCCTTCATATGAATATAGCAACCTTTTTTTGTTCTAATCTGCTTTAAATAAGGACATGCAAGCAGTTAGYACTTATACAAAAGTGGATTTCTCTGAATTTTAGCAGTCTATAAACTGTGTCTAGTCTAAACTAGTTCCTTGATTTTCTTACCTAGTCTGAAACATAGGTCCCTCTAGAAAATGACTCATTTTATCATAAGTTAGGTGGTTTCAGTGGAAGGACATCTGCCGACTGG